AAGATGCTGCAATAGGTTGCAGGAGGGTTTGAATCTGCTCGCTGGCTCCCATCACCGCAAGACTGCAACCACTCGCATCGCAGCAGGGCTGCTGGAAGAAAGGACGAATCCCCAGGCCCCTCCAGACTCCGCGGGGACCCCGCCGGCTCGCGTTCATCTCAGCTCGTTCTCCTGTAATTTTGCCTCTTGATTATTCTGCACAGGTGAGCTGCCACAATAACATGATGCAACAGTTGCTGCTGCCCTCCGTCACCCAGCAGCTCCCTTCTGCGCGCAGGGCAGCTGATGAGCTCCCTGGGAAGAGACCGAACCACAGGCCATGCAACCAGTCGGTGAAAATTGCATCACGCCAGAATCCTAAGAAGCTGCTTCCCCAAGTCTGGCATCTCACCCGGCTAGGCAGGGAGAAGGTTTGTGCTCCAGGTTCATCTCCGTCTAGGAGCTGCGGGGACTGCGGGAGAGCACCGTCCTGTTAGGTCCCCTTCTTGCAAACGCCATCTACTCTGCACACGTAACACTCAGGTCTGCTCCCTTCGGGGCCCCGGGCCGCTCATGCTCCTCTGTGTCCCTGGTAGCCCTGCCCTGGGACCTGGCACAGGGGTACATATGAACGTAAGCAGTGCTGCGCTGGGTCAGACCCACGGTCCAGCAAGCCCAGGATCCCATCTGTGACAGTGGCAGGAGTGGATGATTTAGAGGGAGAGCATTGAACTCTCTAGTGTGATTTAGAGGGAGCGTATTGACAGCTCTAGTGTGATCCACCCCGTTTCTAGGCACCTATCATTATTGGTTCAGAGATGCCAGAGGAAACATCTCTAGTGGCTCCATTTCACAGCTACTGACAGATCTATCCTCCATAAACCTGTCCAGTCCTTTTCTGAACCTGGATATGCTCTCTCCCTTGACACCTTCCTGCAGCAACGAGTTGCATAAGTTAACAATGTGCGGTAGAAGAAGAGGGCATTTTCTTGTTTCTTTTAAACCCATCTCCTGCTAATTTCAATGGGTGCCCCCTCATTCTGGTACAGGTCTGCTCATGCATCGTCAGCACAGCTGGACACTGAGTCCCCAAGCCAGGGCTAGACACTGCCTTGTCCCACTGCCCCAGGGCCAAGGCTGCGGAGTCTGCAAGCCATCACCCAGCCTTGAAGTCAGTGAAAGACCAGAAGCTTTTGGGAAAGGCACTTGCAGATTAGCACCAGGTCTTATGTTCTGGGTGACATTCACCAGCCAGATCGTGCGGAGGCACCGCTACCCCTGCTTTACCGACGGGGACACAGAGGCTAAGTGCATTGCCCATGGCCATGTGACCGGCTGGATGCAGAGCTGGGGACAGAGCCCAGGAGTCCTGACTTGGGCCCCTTTGAGCTGTGAGATGACACTCCCTGCCCCCTGCCGCAGGTACAGTGCTGGACTGGATGGAGAGGGAGGGAGGAAAGAACCTATTTATTTCCCATGCCATCACGTCCCTGTAAAAACGCAGGCACCAAAGAAGCAGCCACTAGGCTGTCAGTGCATGCTGTGCATGCCTTTCTGTGGGCCGACAAATGAGGAAGATGGCAGGCTGAGCACAAAGCTTCCTCCCACGTTCAGGAAAACCCAAGCGGCACGTCCAGCCCTGCAGAGGAAAAGAGCAGACCGGGCGGGGGAAGCCTGCAGGGAACCAAGAACCTGCAGAGAGGGCATGCCCTTCTGCTCTGAACCTTAAAAGCAGTGCCAGCGGGAAGAAAGCATCTGGTGTGATGCTATTGCATGTTGCTCTTCCTGGAAACCTCTTGGTTTGCATTGCTAATGTGAGAAGCTCCCGACCAGGCCTCCAGCCTCCACCCCAGTCTGCAACACCTGTCTCCTTGGAAGCCTGGCAGCACCTGGCGCTTACTCCCAGTGCCCCACCTCCACACCCGCAGGATCGTCTACTTCCAGCTGCGTCACCTGTTGCCATGGGAAGGAGCACGACTGGACTAAAGATGCCTGGGAAAGGCATTGCTTCAGCTTGGTGAGTTGGTGCAGGGAGAGGGGCCCAGCCTTTGGCAGGAAAGCAACCAAGGAAGGGGCAAAAAAGCCCTACTGAAACTTGTATTCTTGGAGGGCAGGAGAGAGAGAGAAAGAGAGACACCCTGGCAGCAACACAAATCCCCATCACGCTCCAGCTCTGAGGCAGACTTACAGCAAAGGGACACGACAAACAAGGCCAGTCGCATGCACGTGGCTCTAGGTGCAACCAGTCAAGCAAGCCAGGGTCCACACTCCCTGCTCTGCAACCCCCTGGACAAAGGTGCCCTGCCAAGGAGCAGGCTGGCACAGAAACAGGCAGAGCTTCCCAAAGCCATCCCTTATGCCACATGTGCTGCAAAAGGCCTTTAAATCCACAGCACATAACAGACAAGCCTGTTCCCACTTGCAGTGTATTGAAAACTTCTCCTAGCTGCATCTAGCAGGTTGGCAGGAGCTCCGGGAGTGCGGCTGGTGAGCCACTAGAAGGCTCCCCTGAGCTAGGTGAACTGATGGGCACGGGAAGGGAAGGCTGCCTGCGTCCACCAGCAAGACCCTGGGAAGACCAAAAGATCATGTTCCCCTCCCTGTGTTGCTTACACCCACCACAATCACGAACGCTGGGCATTTTATAAACCTCGCTGATGTTTCACTAGCTTCCTAGGCTTAAAATCTCCCTGAATGGAGGGCAGAGGGAAGAGCTGCCTTGTTATTTTAGGGGTCTGTAGCCTTTCTGTCAGTCTCCACCTGGCCCAGGTGCCCGTTCTGCAGTGCTGAGCCTGTCACTTGGTCTCACTGCTGCTGCCGCCCCAGGATGCCCAAAGAGCATCACTCGCCCCTACTTCAGGGTTAGGGTTAGTCCAGCATAAACCCAGCGCGCTGGCAGGCACTCCTGTGCTATAAGGACAAATACCAAGGGACCGCCTAGGAATACAAACCACAGACGAGTAGTTTCTCTTTTGAAAGCTTCTGGCTGGCACTGAAAAGCCTTCATGGAAGCATTTTCCCTAGATTTCGGTTTTGGGATAACTCGCTTTTAACAAACTCACATTTTAGGTCAAATAAAACCCAGCATTTCGCCCAACCGTCTTGTAATTCGACTGCTCCTTTCAGCAGTTCCACGCAATGCTTGGAACAGAGATGCCATCGGCAAACAACTAAACACCAGCGTGGATAAAATAATCCTTGTGGATTTATTTAGTCATTATCCTGACAGGAAACTGCTTTCTCAAAACCGAACTGCAAGCATCTTCATGGAAGCTTTGCAGCTTTCAAGAGGAAGAGCCAGGTAAAGTGTGTGAAGCTGCACGTTTTGTTGAAAGTAAAGCCTGTTGCACATTCCCAGACAAACTGAGCCTTTCATTTAATAGAAGACATTGCATTTACCCAAAGAACCTTGTCTGCCTATGTCAGGGGTGGGCAAAATGCGGCCCGCGGGCTGGATGTGGCCCGCCAGGCCATTCTATCTGGCCTGCGGGGCCCCTAAAATATTTAGAAAATGAATACTTATCTGCCTCTGGCTGCCTGTCACGCAGCCCTCGATGGCTTGCCAAAACTCAGTAAGCGGCCTTCCGCCCAAAATAATTGTCTGCCTCTGGCCTATGTCCTTAGACCAACACAGCTGCAACCAACACCCCAGAAAAACCCCAGTCATTTTTACAACCAACAAAGCCCGGGCACCCAGAGAATGCAACGCTGTGCTAACACAGGAGAACTGTGACATGAAAACAACTAGGAACCAGCCCAAGTCAAGCCAACTGCATTGTCTGAACTCAGCACAGTGCGAAGAATAAATGAACACATGAAGCCAGGTCATTAGAACTGATGTTAATTATTAATCCAGGGCGTTCTAAACATAGCTTGGAAAAAAAGCCTTAGCAGCATGGCTTTAATCCCACAGGCTGGATTTAGTGTGAGAAAGACAAATGTGCCCCTTTCAGCATTTGGCACAAGAGGCAACTTCTTCAGAGGAGCAAGGGCCACGTGCTTTTAGATCGATGCTGGCACCGTGCGACTGAACAATCGCCTTGGGCATTTCATGCACTGTGTGTTCGGCTGTATGGCCAGGTGAGGGAGCCCTCGGCAGACGCACAGACTCCTTCCACACTGCTGCTGCATGCTGGAGCTCTCTCCCCATCGCATCCCACCCGCCCATTACAAAGTGCCGCCTCAAAAGACTGTGTTGGGCTGCTGTTAATTGGAAGCACCCTTCCCAGGAGTGGCTGCAATGCAGAGCACACAGGAACTGCTCAGACATCAGGGCCTTGACACCCAGCCTCAGACTCTGGTTACCTGACGCCACCTTTATAGCCCACCCCCTTGGGGCATTCTCAGGTCAGCCCATTGCAGAGGGGTAAATCCCACCCCAGCTACATGTGTGAATGTGTTCTGGGTATTTCTGAGGCGCAGAAAGGTTAACCTGCACCAGGTGCAGGCAGCCTTGAACCTCAGCAGCACCTTTGGGATTAGTCCACTTGTGCTTAGGAACAGCAGCACATGCACCCCCCACCTGGCACTGGGGGATGTCAGCGAATCCGGACCAGCTTGGCGTGGATGCTATGCACTGCAATTCACTTACATATGCACATATTCATGTACATGTTTAATGCCCAATCAGTTAATAACAATGGTGTATTAACTCAAGGCCAACATCGCCCCCACATAGACAAACCTACAGGCACTTTATTAAAGAAGGTAGTGAAAATACCCAATCCAGACCACCTGGTGAAGTGAGCCCATGTTTCAGGGTCTAGTATAAAGCACACACCTCTGGGTGCAAAACTCTTCACAGAACAGAAATGGGGCATTTCTTGAGATTTGAACTGGATGTAAGGGAAGGAAATGGAGCCATAAAGAGAGGGGTTAAGGAAAGCCCAAAGAAAAGGATGACCCCGCTGGACTCAGACGCGTTTTTAGGCACCGGGTCTTCCTTCGGTCACTGAGCCTGCAGCTGCATCCACCTCCATGCCCCCTCCCCGCTGGAAGCTGGAAAAACCTGACACGCTCACCTGCTTTCGGTATCGAGAAACAAAGAGCTACTGCTTTCCCCCAGGGCTTCGCTGATGGGAGAGAGGCAAAATGGGGAAGAGAAAGCATCAGAATCGGAGTCGAACGTACTGTCCCTGCTCACGTCGTCCGCAGACAGCTCCAAGGAGGCCTCGTCTTCCCCCTGCTCTGGCCTGCAGTCCAGCCCTTCCTCCGTCCCCTCCGCCAACCGCTCCAACCTGTTCTGCTCATCCTGAGAACTGCTTGTCGATAATATTCCTGAGTCACTGTGGGCAGGCGGTGGGGAATTGTGGCTACTGTCTGTTGTTGGGCAGCCTTGGGAGAGCTTGTCCCCTTCGGAAGAAGGCGCACTGATGTGAGCCACATCTCTGATGAGCTGCGACACGACCAAGACGTCTTCGCCTTTTGGGATCACTGCCCCTTTCTGCTCAGTGGGAGAGGTCTGCCGGACGGAGCCAAAGCCCTGAGTGTGGCGGCCACGCTTGCGGGGAGCCTTACGCACGGGGGAGCTTTCCGGAGTGATGTAGCGCAGCGCTTCTTCATCCTGTCTCTGAATCCGAGAGTTCGGGACCCAGGCGAGGATAAGCGTGGTGCCAAGGAGCTCGTCTTTCTCCATGTACAGGCACAAGTAGCCTTCAAGAGAGCACAGAACGAGCCCGTTAGGACACACATTTTATAGTTAGGATGAGCCATGTGCTGGCGCTACCTCGGACTCCCCCACCCCAGCAAGCCGGCTCTTGCCAACACAGCCAAGCAAAGGGAATCCAACAGTTTGGCAGATTTCTCCCTGGTCCACAAACAGATGGTGAAATTCTCAAACTTATTTGCTATTTGCAAATAATTCCGATTCTGCAGATGGTTTATGAATAGTTTAAATTCCTCCTGGCCTGGATGGTTACAGAAATCACATGCATTTATTCCTGCCCCTGATTGGACACGTTAGACAACGAATCAAGGGTGTATTATGAATGACACAATTGCATGTAAAATTTGCACTGGGTATCAGTTATCCTGCTCCAAGTGTGAGCTAAAACACACTCCTCAGAGGCGTTTGCCCTAGCACAGCTAAAGGCTAAAATACTTAAGAGAAAGCCAAAGGCAAACGCAAACCAAATTAATTATTTTTCATTATTAAGCCAGTAACAACTACTGCCATTTAGAAGGACACGGCAGCAGGCATGGAGAGAGAGCAGCAACGCAGCTCTCCACTGGCTCCAGCGTATGCGGACACCCCGTGCTTTCACCTGTCCCTGTTTTGAAATGGCTTTAGGGGCAACTCATGCAACCAGGGCTGGGACAGTGCTCGGCATCCTGGATGCATGCAGGTGCACCCCAAATTGCCAAGGGACTTTTCTTGGCCGCTCCTAAGCACTGCCTTGTGTAGGCAGAAGGTCTCGGCTCCTCATTTCATGGCAGACCCCTTTGAATCAGCTGCAAGATGCGGGCCTATGTCGTGCAGATGCGTACACACCGGAGCCCACCCCCCAGCAGTCTCTGCAGTCCCCATCACCTGGATGATGCTCCCCAAGGCCTTGCAGCCCCTCGGGAGGGTGGACGCAGACATTGTTCTTGGAATAGATGATCTCCCCATCCAGCACGGACGACGCGCTGCTGCCGCTGCTCGCGTTTAAGGTCAGGAGGTCAGAGGCTTTTGAGGAGGCACGTCGGAGGAGTCGCCCCAGAGACATCGCCAGGGGAGTGTTTCCATTATCCGTCCGCTTCAATCAGAAGCTACGTCCAGACAAAAGATCTGCCGAGAAGGGGGAAGGAACCGCGTTAGGAGACGCACAACGAGACAGCAACAGAGCGGTTAGGACTTCCTGCCATGCAACATCACAGCTGGCAGGGTTCCCATCAGCTCCTACCCCAGCCCTGCCATTCACGCAGGGAGCTCCAAGCACCCCAAGCAGTTACAGGCCTCACTGCACACGCAGCAAAACCATGCACAGAACAGGAGAGAGGCCTTTCGGGGGAGCGTGAGCCCACTGGAACCACGCGGTGCCTGGGCGACGGCCTCAGCTCACGACCGGCTCCCCTTGGCCAGCGTTGCTGGAGCCAGGCAGTGCTCGAAGCATCCCTGGGGATGGCAGAGACCAAAGTTTCAGCTTTGGTCTCAGGCTTCTGTTGCCTGCCACAAAATGCAAAGTAATTAATAATGATCAGGGAGGGAAAGAAAGAGCACTTCATTGCCCAGGACTAAGGGAGGGGCTCTGAGGACTCAGAGCTGCCCCATGCGTCCTTGTTGCGATGGCCCAGAGGCAGCTTGGGCAGTCCCATAAGGTCAACCCCAAATTAAAGCTGCGACAGAAACCACACCTGGGCAAGTCAAGGCTGGTACTGCACCCTTGGCACCAGGCGCCGCTTGGTCCAGGCTATAGGGCATTCACCTCGTATCCCCTGACTTTTGAAAACCCCCTGTTATTTAGACACAGGGCTCTTCTCGGTGGGGTGGAGGGAACTATTCCAGCTACAGCAGGCAAAGAAGATGCAGGTAACAGAATACAGCGCATCAGCGCCGAGCCACGGGGCAGGCGTCTCAGCTTGCAAGAGGGAACATGAGCGAACTATGGAACACGATCCCCAGGTAACCAGCAAATGTACCATGACCCGAAAACAGGCCGTGCTGCTAACGAGAAGCTGCAGGCTGAGCCTAGATGGGATGCTCGTGCCATCAATAATTCAACAGGCAGACTGGGAAGAGCGCAGGGCCTGCTGAGGCAGCACGCGGGGAGGCACAAAGCACTCCCTTGCAAGCCCAGAACGATGCAAAGGCAGGGCAGGAATCACTCTGCCCGGCCGGAAAACACCAGAGAGATGGCAGTCTCCGCTCCCCCCGCAACATGCAGGTGGAAGGGAAAGCGGCTCTCCCAAAGCCGTGCTGGCTGCGTGCTCTAGAGCCAACTTAACCTGGCGTGCACCAGACTGCCACGAGCCCCCAGCGAAGAGCAGCACCTTGCACGAGCAGCGAGAGCCTTCCACAGGCTTGCCGCCAGGCACCTGGCTCGGCAGAGCAAGCCACAGGTGTGGCCAGAAACAGAACGGTAAAGGCTCCTGGTCACCCAGAACCCAGCCCCCAAATGACTCCTGCCTCTGTAGACAGCAGATTCAGCCGCTTCTCAGGAAAACCGAAAGGATGCAGAGTGGAGACAGGCTGGCCTGTCTGCAATTACCTAGTGCATGGCCAAGGCCCTTGCCCAACACTCACCCATGCCAGGTGGGGCTGGTAGTGCTGCCAAGTGCTTCCTAGGGGCTATTTCACCCTCGCACTCGCTCCCCAGCCTGGACAGACAGGGCAGCAGGGTACCAGGGGTTACACAGGACTGAGCTCCCAACAGAAGGAAACAAAAGGGAGCTGCTTTCTCTTCCCTTCCATAGAAGCAGAGGCAAAGCAGAAGTCAGCATTTCTCAACCCGAGAGATAAAGGTGGCAAGAAAGGAAATTGCTTTCCGGCTGTTTACAGTGAAGAGAGGGTAAGTCAGAGGAGCAGCTGACAGTGCTTGTTAAAGGCCAAAGTGTGAGCCTTCACCATGCGTCTCCTGGCTTGTCAGCTCGAATCACTGCTTCGTCTCAGTTTGACAGTGTCAGGCCTCAGTGGGACCTGACAAAGATGGATCGACCCTGCTTTGCCCGGAGCCCAAGGGTTCGAGGGTGAAGAGGTTGCTGTGCAAGCCCTTTCCCCTCCTGCCTCGCAGTGTCTCAGCCCTGCTCTGAAAGCACATACCCGACAGTCACAGGAAACAGGACAAGAGGACCTTGAGTGCTCACCCCGTCCAGCCCTCAAGGCAGGATCACTACCCCTCCCTATCCGAAAGATGCAAGTGCAGAGCGACGCTCCTCAGCCTGGGGCTCTCCGTCCCGACTCTTCTGCGCACGGCACAGAGCAGAGCTCTGCTGTAGGGTCTGGGCTACGTAGCGGGGAACTGGGCATCCACAACAATCGCAGAGAATAGATGGAGCCCCGTCCAGCTCTGAACGGGGTGCAGCAGGCGCTGTTGCAAGGCACCATAAGAAGTTACGGGCAACATTTCAACACCAGCATCTAGCAGAAACTCCAACTAGCCTGTGACACCGAGTGACCTGTGTGTCATCAGCACTTGCACGCCGGGAGTTGGGAAAGCTGACCTGCACTTGTGGCATTGACCAGCCAGCTTGCAGCGTGGGTGTCCCTGAACAGGGCAGGGGCACCCACGCTTCATGCCACGCCAGCCACCGCCCCCCACGTTAGACCCACAGAACCTGTTGGAGGGAACACCGGAGATCAAGGCATGTGCATCCTGATTCGGAGAATGCAGCCCAAGGAGATGCACAGACCTAAAGTGTGCCAGAGGGCGAGAGCTCTACAGCAGCCCTCCAGAGGCCTTCAGGAACTGGGAAAGAGGCCAAGCCCTTCTCAGCTGATGACCGGCAGCAGCGGCCGTTCATTAGCTACTCCGCACTCAGAAAGATTGAAGCAACTGCAGAAGATCTGCAGAATGGGAGATCTGAGAAGGACCTCAGGGCTTGCCTTGACTGCTTCTTCAGGGCAAAGGGGGTGGGGGTGATTCAAAAGGAAGGAGCTGTGCTGTAAGGAAATCATGTGGGTGCATTGAGCTGGCTCTGCAGAAAAGCTGCAGTCCAGGCAGGAAGAGTGGATGTTCAGGGGCCTGGTTAGGAGACAGGCAGCTGCAGAGACGAGGTCAGCGCGTGTTGGTCTCGAGGTCAGTGTGTGTTGGTCTCGTTCCTAGCCTGCAGGTGTTCAGATCACACGAGCCAAAAAGCAGCACAAATGTTGGCAGCCCCAGCCAAGAGGACAGAACGACCTCTTTGCCCCTCGTCCTTCTGCAGCGACAGGGGTCAGTCCCTGATGCAAGAGCCAGGAGCAGAAGCTTGAACTGTGCCTGTCATCTGTGCTGGGGATGCAGAGAGGGAGAGTCGCCAGGGCTGCTGGGTCAGCATGAGCTCCTACACCCATAAAAGGAAAAGGGGCATTTCAGATTAGCCTTTTATTTTGGCTTAATCAAGATCATTCCAACGTGGCAGCGGCTGACACCTCCCCTGCCTTCCGGAAGCTGGAGCACGGGGTTAGCTGATAAGCTCACCTGGGTGCCAATATTTGTTAAGCACACACAAGATTTCGCTCTCCCACTCTCAACTGCTGCCACCAAATACTTCGGCTGCAGCTGCTCTTGTTGTTCTCACAGCCCCTAGATGCTTTCTTAGTCAATTAGAAGGCAGGGTAGATTTGCACCTTATAAACTAACCAAAGCGGGTAGTGGGGGGGAAGGGAGCAAGGAAGGTGTGTGTGATGTTTATACATGGCACAAGCTTTCATCAGCTGCAGCTCACTTCATGAGATGCTGTGAAAGGACATGCAGAAAACAGAGTATAAGGAAAGAGAAACTGGAATATAAAAGACAAAGGCAGGGAAGAAAGCAGAGGTGGGGAGAAGGAGCAGTGCTTTCTTAGCTGATGCCAGCGCTCTTTAGCTAGCAGAGCACCCCAGAGGTAAAGCATGCAGCCCGCAGCTAGCTGCCTCCCCTCAGGGCTGCCTCAGTTGTCCCCTTCGCTGGGCGTTAAGCCTCGCTGCCGCCAGCAGTGTCTCAGCTACTGTTTACAAAGGCCCTCCCCGCTCCACAAACTGCTGAACAACAAGATCCTGTTGCAGGTTGGCACACGGACGCCCCTACCTTGGCAGCTCTTCCCGAGATGAATGCTGCTGACTCCATTCGAAACAGCTCTCGGGTCTCCGATAAAGAGGAGCGCAGGGTTTCTGCACAGTCCTGGGCTAGGATCCTGCCTGTTCTTCAGGCTCTGAGCGTGCTATGCACAGACCAGCACTGAAGGTCTGGTCCATCCAGACTGAGCCACAGCCTAAGCTGGGAGGTCGGGCTGTAACCCAAGAGCCAAGTGGCTGAGCAGCTGCATATTTGGCAATGGATCCTGCTGAATCCAAGGGTTGAATTTAATACAGGCCCTAATAAAGCCAAATAAAAGGGTTCTGGAAATGAAGCAGGAACCTGTGGACAGACAAGGGCTCCAGAGGTGTCAAACAAGAGCCAAGTTCACGCTGGAATTGAGCAACATTTTCTACTTTGCAGTTCTCCAAGGAGGGGAATTTCTACCAACAAACTTGGCTTGATTTTTAATGTTGTGTGAGCCTGACACTGCATTGCACTGGAGACCCCTGAGGTTACTCCTCACGCCCCAGGGGGAGGGAAGAGACACTTAGCTTGTGGGTCTGTTATGAGAGACGCAGCAATGTAGTAATAGCAGGGAAGAGCCCACGAGTCCTCACTCCCACTCTCTCTCCGCAGGTTTTCTACAGATCCCACGGGACCCTCAGCAAGCTGCTGTCAAGCTCCATTCCTCTCTATTCAGAAGGCTGCTATCACCGCTTGCAACCTGCTTGCGAAGATGCTGGCACAAGACTAGCTACAGCAATGAAATGTACACCCGAGGGAATAATTCTGAAGCTGTCCCATACCACGGGGAGAGTGAAGTAGGCCACATCAAAAGTCTTTCATCTCTAATCTACTGGCAGCAGCAATCAAGCACAGAGTGCGGCGCTAAGGAAAGAGCAAGAGATGCTACTAGCATAGGGAAGGACGCCTGGCCCCACTGAAGTCCAGGACAAAACTGCATCACAGGTCACAGGAAAGCGTGGGCAACGGAGCCAGCATCCCACTGCATAGACCCAGCATCCTAAAGCTGGAGGAGAGGTGCCCAGTGGGGCACCACTCCCTGCCCCACTGGGCACAAAGACAAAATGGTAAAAACACCACTTTTTTGGCCACACAAGGAGCCCACTACTACACACGGCAGCTATGAGAAGACACTTGGAAATGTTGCAACTGAATCACCGCTTGTAAAGCACGCTGCACTCCACACGGGTCTATTCTGCTCCCCCAGACCAGTCACCATTTCATGCATTATTTAACTCTGGTACTTATACAATCCGTGCAGTTGATGTGGGAAGGCATTCTTTTTAAGCTACCTGCCAGGTGCTGCCTTAATACTGCTCCAGCGCTGGTCTCCTGAACTTGCGGCAGCCTGCACTGCTGGCTAAACACGTGAGCCAGTTTCAAAGCTCTGTCATCCCACCAGAGGCTGAGAGGTGACATGAGCATGGGCACAAGATGCTTCTCGCCGACTGAATGAAGAATGCAACCTTCTCCCTCTGCTTAGCTCAGGCTTTATGCTGATTACACAGCAGCAAGATGCTGAGGATGGAGTCAAAGATCTTTACCGAACCCTCCAGGGGCCAAAAATCACTCCTCAATTAGGTCCTCTTGATTTCAATGGAGTTACCACCAATTGCATTAGGTCTGAACATGACCATAAATCGTAGTACTGGGATCGAATCTCACCCGCACCTTAGTGTAGGACTCAGAACAGGAACTGGCCTCCCAGCCTGGGGAATTCACCGCCAGCAGAGCAAACCACTCTGGCAGCTCATTCTTCAGAAACTCAAACATGACTCTGGGTCAGGGGAGTCACACACAGACAGAGGCTTCATTCTCATCAATATTAATCACTGTGTATATAAAGCATGCCAGGAGCCCAGTGCAAGATGAATTCAGACTCTGGGCAGCCCAAACGCTCCAGGTGGACTAGTGAGGTGCCTTCAGTGGGGAGGCTTGGGGAATGGTAACAGGAGGGGCAGAAGTGCAACCACTCTCTTTTCATGAGGGGACACACTTGGCTGCCACCTCCCTGCCCACCCCGGTCTGTCTTGACCAACTCAACTGGCTGGTTTCCACTGCTAAACGTTTCAAAGGAAGAAGCGCTTCCCTCCGGCAGGTGCAGCTCTTCCCTCTGAATGATTCTTCAGGTTCCTTCCACATCTGTCGCGCTTCTGCACGTCTCACATGCTGATCCACCCAAGCTGCTGGAGCAGGGGGCACGGTCCTTCTCCCTTCGCCTAAGCTGCCAAAGTTCAACTTAGACTCCCCAACTCCAGAGAGCACTGCTTGCTCCCTGCTTTCTCAAACAAGTGTGGCCAAATCACCTCCTCTCCATATGTCTCCACAGCTGTCTACTCATTGCAGGGAACAGCTTAAAGTTCCCATTTTTTTTCCCCTAAGCCTTTCACAGACTTGACGCAGCCCAACCTTCCACTCGTCCCAGTCTCCTCTCTTCAAATCTCATCATAGTCTATGCAAAAGCCTTCTCCTCTGCTGCTTCTCCAGCCTGGGAGCACTTTGTTGCGTCTATCCACCTGGGCCCTCTCTCTGTGTCTGTCATTTGAAAATCTCTTTATTCTTTCTCGCTTTTCCTAATGGTCTCTGTGCCTCTTACTTTCTGTTTCTTAGCTCTTTATACCTATTTAGATAGTTCTACAAAGCATTTGGGAATACAGTTTGTATAGAAGACACTATAGAGCATTATACTGTAGGAATAAGCTAGACTTGCTCTTTATAACCCATCAAGGGAATTCTGTCATGGAGAGTATAAAGGCTTAATCAAAAGCCCACAACTCAGAAACCTGTCACTGAACAATACTGAAAGCATCTGTGTTCAACACATCCATTATCTTGCCCTCAATAACTTTCATTGTTATTCCTTACTGGTTTCACGGTAGCAATTCTGTGCTTTCCAGGCAGTCAAGGAGGCAGATCCCCACCTCTGAGGAGCTCATAGCTTGAGGATAGGCAGATAGGTAGACGGGGCCAGGGGAAGATGAGTTAGCTTCCAACCATCTGATAAGTAATATATCACCACGCTGACCTCGCTTCAAAGAGCTTGCAGGTCCTAAATCAGACAACTGCCATGCAGTCAGAGTGAAAATGCTTACATTAATCTGTACAAGAGGCAAGGATTTTTGTGATAGCTTTTATTGGACCAACTGCGGGATGAGCTGTCAAATTTGTAGCGTTCATGCCCAACACCACTCTTTACGATTCAGCTGATGATAAAACCACAGCAAACAAAGTCCCAAGGATGGTGACACTCCAGGGGACAGTTACGAGACACAAACTTCGTTTCATGTTTGGGGTGCAACAAATTGGGTGGGAGCCAGTTGGAGCTGCTCCAAGCTGCCAGAGGGAAAAGTCTGAAAGCTGTTCCCGGTTTCATCTTTGGCAGTCTGTTGCATGCCCCCTGGAGAGCAGGGACAGGACAAGGAAAGCACCTGGCTTCATTTCCTTAAGATCACAAGAACTGCCATTTACTGCCCAGGAAAGAGACCCATCCTGCCCAGGCTCCTGCATCACACGGCAGAGGGTGGAGGCTGAAAGGGACAGTGACCTGGGTTCGACCGTGGCTTTTTCTCACTGTTCCTCTCCCACTTGCAGCCTCCAGCATTTCAGGTCTAGGAAGTTCTGACTTGGAGGCCGTGCCCCTCGCTCAATAGCTCCTGATGCCCCTGTCCTCCAAGAACGTGTCCGGTCCCTTTGTGAATCTGGCTGCGCTCTCAGCATCTTGGTGGCAACAACTTCCACCCTTTAATGACGCGGTATGAAACAAAACATCCCTTTGCTAGGTTTAAACGGACGGTCTGCTCGTTTCACGTTGTGACCACTCATTCTCGTCTGGCGAGAGTGAGTCAATAATAAATCCCTAGGGACTTTCTTTTTGGCATTTAGCATGTTGTAAACCCTTCTCGTGTCTCCTCTCAAGCGTCTCTCTTCCAAACCGAGCAGGCCTCCGTAGCCTCTCCTCACCTGGAAAAATCGTGGCTTAGTTTCCTTGAGAAACTGCAGCTCATTTAAGAGCGCTGTTGGCATGCTCCTCAAGAGAGCCCGTCGGCCAGCCACGGGAAGGCCAGCCAACATGACTCATAAAGGACAAAGGGAGGAGGAGGAGAAACAGCAGGATAAAAATTAAGGTGCCGTTAAGACGCTCGCTGCTCACTAAAAAAAAATCATAGAAAATGAGTTGGAAGGGACCTCGGGAGATCACATCTAGTCCAACCCCTGCTCCAACTACAGCATCCCAGCCAAGGCTTTGTCTACCTGGGTCTTCAATACCTCCAGGGATGGAGAGTCCACCGTCCCTCTGGGGAGCCTGCCTAGTGCTTCACCCTGATGAGAGTTTTTCCTAATATCCAACCTCAACTTCCCTTGCTGCAGCTTGAGCCCATTGCTCCTTGTCCTGACATCTGCCCCCACTGAGACCAGCCCAGCTCCATCCTCTTTGCAGCCCCCCTGCAGGGAGGTGAAGGCTGCTATTCAATCCCCCTCGGTCTTCCCTTCTGCAGACTAAATCAGCCCATTTCCCTCGGCCTCTCCTCACCAGTCCTGTCCCCCAGCCCCCAAACCATTTTCACTGGACTCTCTCCAATGTGTCCACATCCTTTCTGTAGCGGGGGGAGCCCCCAGCTGGACACAGGATCCAGATGTGGCCTCCCCAGCGCTGAACACAGGGGAGGAATCATCACAAAAAAGCAGGTGTGTTCACCCCACACGCGACGGCAGCGGAGCCCAGCGGGCGGCTCCTTGCACACCAACGCACCCGCGCGGACGGGGCAAGCGGGGCGGAGGAGGGAGCCGGGACGGCAGCCAGGTGCCCCCCAGCACGGAGCCCCGCAGGCAAGCGGCGCGGGGCCGGGGGAAAAGGAGCGGACAGACGACACCCGTGCGGGGGGGGGGAATCCACCCCCCAGGGGTGCAATTAGAGCCCTGCTATTAGGGTTGCATGCAAATGGATAGGCGGCATCTGCAGACAGCGGGGAGGGGGGCAACCTTGCATTCCTCTCCTGGGGGGGGCAAATCTGCCCCTCCCTCCATAAGGGTGCAAATCCACCCCCCCTCCCAGTGGGGCAATTACAGCCCCTGTCACGAGGGTGGCATGCAAACGCACAGACAACACCTGTGGGGGGTGGGGAATGGG